TGCGCGCTGCCCCCGGCTCCCCCTGGCTCCCCCTCGAAACAAGGGGAGGGAGTGTGTAAGGAGGGTAGGAAATTCAGGGTATTTCACGGGAGAGTGCGGGAAGGGAAAAACAAGAGCTCCTTTTTTTAGAGTGACTTTTTGATGGTTTAAACTGAACCCACGAGAAACTCTGAAACCCAGTGGTTTCTTTACCATGCAATGTAAGGGATGGCTTACCTTTCTGTACATAAGACAATTACTGCTGTATGTAGTAAATAATAAGAAGGAAATTGCTTGCCCCTCCCCCCCCCATCTTCATGGAAATACCAATATAAAGTGGGTAAATAGAATAAGTAGCTATGTTACAGGTAAGCCCTCTAATGTGGACTTGAAATGTTGTGAGCAGGAAAGGAGATTTGGTGCTTATCTCCAATCATGCAGTACAGTTTCATAGTACTCTCCATAACCTACGCAGTCAAGACTTGACTTGTTATTTCTCTAAGCGCATACGAATGCGTAGGAAACAAAACTTGATTGAGTTGAGTCATGGATAGCATCTGTGGAGCATCTCAGCCACCTGAAAATGAAAAAAGGTTGGCCTCTGATTTCTAAGCTGTGATTTTATTCTTCTAGGTCCCTAGAGGGGTTGAGAATGCTGTGAATGAACCTAATCGTAAAGCTAAAACTCAAGTAACTGGCAGAAGGACTGCTTTGGAAGAAATAGGAAACAAAGTTTCAACACGAGGAACGCACATAGCTAAGGTACAGCAATATTTGAATCCTACTTGTAGGGAACAGATGAGTTATTAGTTTTATATTGATAGTCATTGTTTTCATTACAGAAAGCAGAACGCTTCAAAGCATCTACAAAACCTATAAAAGGGCCTAGTAAGATGACAAATATAATTGCACTGCCTAAACCTCCAGCTGTTGTGAATCAAGTATCCAAAGAAACAAGTGTTCCAAAGGTAGGAAGTAACGATGTTGTTCTGATTCTTAATTTCAGACCTATAACGCGGTGCTTTAGCCTCAGTATCCCATTCCCAAGACCTCGGTGCAGGGGCTTTGTTTTTTCAGCAGGTTTTAATGCACGTTCTGCTTAAAGGCTAATATTAAAGTGGCAGAATTAGCTATTGAAATATTGAACGAAATGTGAAAGCTTCTCCTTTAGCCGACAATCGTCAGAAGGTCTACTCATTCTGTTTGTATGGCATCCTGATGAAAGCTTGCACAGCTAGCATACAAGCAATCTTTCAAATATTTATATAAGGAAGAAGTTGCATTAATAACTAAAAAAATGGGGGTGGGGGACAGAAGGGGCATTGTTGCCTAATCAGTAGATATGTAAGTGCTATAACCTGTTCCTTAGGTTCTGTCTCCGGTTCCTATGGATGTGTCTATGCAAGAAGAGGATTTGTGCCAAGCCTTCTCTGATGTATTGCTCAACAACGTAGAAGACATTGACGCTGAGGATTGGGAGAACCCGCAGCTTTGTAGTGACTATGTAAAAGATATCTATCTTTATCTGAGACAGCTTGAGGTAGGAATACCTACGCACTGATTCTGCAGCTTCTGCAGAATAGCGTTCATCTTGTTGCTCACACAGTTCTCTCACTAACAGCTGCAGCAATCGGTGCGCCCCCATTACCTCGATGGGAAGGCGATCAATGGGCGTATGCGTGCAATTTTAGTTGACTGGCTTGTCCAGGTCCACTCAAGATTCCAGCTTTTGCAGGAGACACTGTATATGTGTGTTGCAGTTATGGATCGCTTCTTACAAGTAAGTGTCTTTAAGAAGTTCTTCAACACCTGTTTGGGTTAGGGGAGTTGCTCAGTGACAATGGTCTTTAAAAGAATTGGGAATTTAGCCTTTTTTAATACCTGGAGATTGTGCTGTGTGATTGGGTAAGAGCTATTTAACATAACTTTGAGGCTGCTAGCCTCTTTGAGCCTGTCATTATAGGGACCCGTCTGACTTAAAGTGGAAAATTTCATGTACGTTCTAAGAATGAACTCTATCATACTGTCATTATAAACTAATAAATCAGAACCTGTTCATCTAGAGTTTGATGATTTGAGGTGCTGCCTTTGTAAACCTCTGTGTTGCAGAGTCATCCAGTACCCCGTAAGAGGCTTCAGTTGGTGGGTGTAACAGCACTGCTTCTTGCTTCAAAATATGAAGAGATGTTCTCTCCTGATGTAGCAGACTTTGTTTACATTACTGACAATGCCTACACCAGTGAAGAAGTTAGAGAAATGGAGATCGTGATTCTCAAAGAGTTGAACTTTGATTTGGGACGTCCTCTTCCGCTTCATCCTCGTTATTTAGAACTTTTTTGTTTGCGTAAAGACAATCTGGATTGCTTCAGGCCTTTTTTATCATGTTGTCCGACTTTTCTTGTTCCAGTTTTTGAGCAGAAAACAATGTTCAGCTATAAAATTCCACCATGTGGTGGCATGACTGTCAACGTCACTGCAATTTCCAGTAATTGTTCATGTGTCTTTACTGGGACTTGTGTCCAGTCTTAGTTGTAGTAATTTCACTGTTACAGTAAAACGAGTAGGTGATGAGTAGAAGATGAGTAGAGCACAACTGTAGCCTTTTGCCTGGTAATTAGGGTGTTCTTCAGTAAAAGGTTCCCTCAGCAGACTACTGGGCAGCTCTTGAAGTAAGCTGACTCCTTGGACTCCTTGGTAAGGAGCTACTTAACTAATTTTACACTCTTGTTGTTTGTTTCCTCCTTCCCCTTAATCTATTTTAGAGGAAGCATTTGTCTCCCAAGCTGGGCACAGCAGCGCCCAGTACAGGAGTTTCCTGTTAACATCTTTCATGCAACTCTTGAGTCTGCATTCCAAATGGATGCTAGGCTATGCTGGTCCTGACTCTGGGCTCAATTTTGACCTGAGGTAACTGTCCCATTAGGCAGTGTGATCCCTAGATGTTAATAAAGCTCTTGTTGACTGTTCTTGTTTTGCCAAGTTATTTGTCAGTTAATGGCTGGAATAAACAACCCTGGATCAGCTTGATAAAGTGAAGTAAAATGTTGTGAATTAACAAGCTCTTGATCTGATAGGCTGATGCTGAGCAACATACGCTAGCAAAATATCTAATGGAGCTGACTCTGGTGGATTATGACATGGTGCACCATCATCCTTCAGAGATTGCAGCTGCTGCATTATGCTTGTCACAAAAGATCCTAGGACATAACAAATGGGTAAGTGTTTTATTAAAACTACTGGAGCTGACTGTGTTTAGAGCAGTAATGATGCTGGTGATCAAATGATAGTTGGATGACCCGATTTACTGATGAAGGTAGACTAAGGAGTATACCGTAATAACAATCTGCAATATTATCTCTTTTTATGTGGGCACCCTTGCATAAAAGGATTTTTTCCTACAAAGGTATTGAGTTATCAGAGAAGGCCACACTGTAAATAACGCTTGATCTTTCTGCAGGCTGCAGTACAAAGTAGAATAATTAAATTATGGACTATGAACGGTGAATTGTAACTGAATTAGTGGTTACCCTTGCTGCTGCTTTTGGCTTCTGCACAGTGCAGAAGTGTGGATCCGTCTTCTAAACTGATGTACCCTTCCTTGGAGCACAAGGCTAACTCATGAAGTTTGGGGTGTCACTTACCTGAGGTGACTGGGCCTTGAGCAGAAATCCTACTTCTTTAAAAGGCTCTAGATTTTTTTTACCGTTACATTGCAGGGTATGAAGCAGCAGTACTATACTGGCTATACAGAAGACAGGCTTGTGATAACTATGAAACACATGGCCAAGAATGTTGTCAAAGTAAATGAGAACTTAACAAAATACACTGTAAGTATAACTACTCGATTGTGTTTCTAATGTTGTAGAAATGCCTTTGCTGCATATTGTGAATACTTAGCTAAATATTCTTTATGTTATCAATGCATATGCTACTCTGACACGCTTGGGAGAGGATGTTGCATCACTTTGTCCGAAATGTTCCAAAGTTAGTGCTCTGCTCTTGTTATTCTGCATGCTGGTTCACTTCTAACCTTACTTTTATTCAGTCAGGACAGCTGACTCAAAACTGATCTGCCTGACTTTAATATTTAATGTGTAAATCAAGATAAATCCTCTATAACGCTGTTCCTCTACGTCAACAGGCTATAAAGAACAAGTATGCAAGTAGCAAACTCCTGATGATCAGCACAATCCCTCAGCTGAACTGCAAGATAATCAAGGACCTAGCTTCATCGCTCGTATGATAACTCTAAGCAGACAAATCCTGATGATCCATGCACTTTGTCCTCATTTGCCTATTGGGGCAAACATGCTGCTCTTTGTACATAGCCTTTCAGCCTTACCGCAGACATTTCAGACTTGCTCTGAAAGTGACCTTTTAAACTTGCCTTGTAATACAGTGCTGTACCTAGAAATAAAGCTCCTTTCTTTTTTAAAAAAAAAAAAAAAGTCTAACCTTTGCAGTGAATATTGCAACTGTGAGCCTTTAAGGCACTATCTAGACATGTCTGCAGTCCAGTGTCCAAGCAGGACATTGGGCTACGTAGATGACTGATTCAACTTCCAGTCACAAGTGGATGATTATCTCATTGACTGTTGACTCCTAGCTTTATAGTGGGTTATACTTAGTAACGTTTTTTTGTTCTCACTCTCACGGTAAGAAAGAACAGGCAGACAGTTCGTCTTTTCTTGGTGTATCTTAAAATATCTGGTTTATCTTGACATCTTGTCCCGTAAGGGTATACAAAAGTTTCTTTTTTAGGGTGCTGTCAAGTTTGAGCAAGGTGAAAAAGTAGGCTGTCTGTATTGTGTTGTATTAGCGTTGTAAGTCCCTGTGTTGAGTGACTGTAACATTATGTGTTTTCTGTCTCTGTAAGCCTAAACAAAGGGGTGTAAGGCAGGGGATTTTAAGTATGATATGATGCCGACCAGTATGTGCATTGGCCATACATAGATGTGAAACTAAGGGGAGGAGAACTTTGAACCAGGTCAGCTCTTAAAACCTGCTCCACTACTTGAATCCAGCTCTTCAGTGCATAGTTCTGCCCCCCCTCCCCCCCCCCCCCCCTTAAATTCAGTGTTTCCCTTTTCCTAGTATGTTTCTCTGTGGAGGTGTGCAGGCTCTGATGTACAAGGGGGAACCAATGCCACAAAATAATCCTAGAGCTCAATGCCTTCCTATGGGAGGATGTTGAAGTTGAAGGCTTTTATCTCCTTGAGCAAGAGATTTGTTTTCTCCTGTGCTGTTAAGTATGCCAAGCACTGTTACTGCTAATGGGGTACGTGATTGCATCCTGGACTGAGGCCCTAGTTTCTATCTTCCAGTCCAGATATAAAGAAACAGCTTCTGCAGTCCGCGAGCTTCTAATGGTGTCCGTGGAGTTTGTATGCCTAAATTAGGCTTAGGCAATGGCTTGTGAGGGAGGGCATTCAAGCTTTTTTGTGTTTTCTTTGTGGTTTTGTTTTGTTTTTTGCTATGTCTTAAAGCCTGTGCAATTTTTCTGTAATACTTTTTTTTTTTTTTTTTAAACTGCTCTTAACCAGAAAAATGTACTGCACATAGCAGTTCATTCGGGTGTAGTGAGAACAGTTCTGTGTTTGGAGAGGAGGGCAATTTCTTCTTTAGAAACCTACACAGTAAAAGCCAGCAAACTTGGGTTGTGAAGAGATCTGCTGGTATATGTTCCTGAAAACAAACTGTACAATGAATAGAACAGTTCAGCTAACAGTTTTTTGTGTTTTATTTTATGGAGGTTCAGAAGACATGAATGCTGCTATCTGTATGGCAAGCAACAGCCATTTTGAATGGTGTGGGAGGCAATCAGACTTGAGCAATAACACTTTTCTTTTTACTATTTAAAAGGAGTAGTGCATATCTGTAAGTACCTGGCATAAGAATTCTAGTAAAACTATGTTATGAGTAAGAACAGTGGACTACTACATTATACATTCATACATGTTTCTACCATATTCAGGTTTCTATATACAGTATATGATCTGTTTATATAAATGTACAGCTCTGCATAAAGACACCTCTTATAACAGGTAGAGCATTAAACATAAATCCAACATGGGCCAGCCATATTCTAATATAAATCTTGAAGAAGGCAACATTGTTTAGCATACAGTACTGCATTGTTTTCTGTCTTTTCTTTTTCTAGTGCCTGTTGGGAGTCCCTAAATACATCAGCAAACACAAACCACGTCCATTACAGCTCTGTACAGAAGTATTTAAATATACCATCACAGTAGACTTTTAGATGGTAATATCCCAAGTGATCCTAAATCTTTTTGACATGTAGCAGCATACTTAACATGTTCCCCAGAATGATCTGCATTAGAGGAAATGTCCATTTAACATTATCTTCATTAGATAATTAAAAAGATTACTGATATTCAACTGAAAGGCACTTATTAAATATACCCCTTTCAAAGTTCCTGGTCCCAGACTGCAAAGCACCTCTCAGTTTCAGGAAGATAATAGGTTTAAGCATTAACACTCACTGGGTGTTAAAAAACAGGCTTTAAATATAATAAATAATTTGTCAATATGTCCATTGCTGTGTGTTTCTGAGGCAAAGATCAAAGTTTGCTTTGTGGAAAACTAACTGATTTTTTCTTCCTGCTTGTATACAACTTCACTGGTGGAAATGCTGCTGAGAATGACAGATCTCAGAAGAACAAGTGTCCTGAAGGCAAGGGAAAATATCTTCAACCACTGGTAATATTATGTTATTTTTCATCTGACAAATCCTTAGGCTTTTATATCTTGGTCACATAATTGTTGGGAAACAGACCTTGTTTCCCTCGTAGTCTTCCTGTCCACCAACCAGAAGGATCTATGACAAAGGAAGAAAAGTAAGCACTGAAGTTCTGTTATCCTTCCTACTCGCGTCACAGACTTCCCAGCTGGTTTTGTATGCTTTTTTTTGAGATAGGCTTGCAAAACTGTTCCACACAAAGTGGAATCCTTCTCATGAAAGACTGAAGATAAATAAAAATCTGAGTTTGCTAATCTTTTGGCTATAACACTATACCTAATCTGGTTGCTTTGGAAACATCAAGGCGTTGGAATAGCTTTATTTATTATTTGTTTTTGTGTTACAGCTGTAGTTGGGGCTTATTTTAATCCAGATCCTGTGATGGAGTACTCTCTTAACAAAATATGAAGTCATACAGTAGGGAATAATTTAACGGATTGCTCTGGCAATAATTTAACGGATTGCTCTGTGTTTTAAGTGCACAAGTTTGATTGCTGTAGGTGTGACAACTTCTCTGCTCTGCCTGCTTCTTGAGGTATCAGGAATTTGCAAGCCTAATGAAGGGAAAATAAATGACTGTGGTATAGCTGGAAAAAGTCATGTCCTAACTGATTATGACAGTGTACCTTCAAGGTCAGTACTTTATTCACAAAAGCTTTTGTTACCTGTTTTACATACCTTCTTTGATTATATCAATCACGTCATTGGCATTAAAGCTAAGTTCGTCTGTGTCCTGAGCGTCATATGCATACAGTGCCCTGCACTGTGGTACCTGAGGCTTGGGTTTTGGCTGTGGTTTAGGTCTTCCCCCAGCTGGTGGGGGCCGGTTTGTCGTCTGCCTGCGAACACTAATGAGAGGAAAATGTTAATGTACTTCAAAGCTATGACTTAATCAAGTCATAACTAAACTTAATCAACCCCTCTCTCCTAGTCTACTGACTCTAAAGAATATCACAGAACAAGGGAAAAGGAACTCTCACTTAAATATCACAGCAGTTAAAAATGTAAATGTAAGACTTATTAACATCCCTGTGAAAGGGACACAGTTGTCACTTCTTCCCTGCTAAAATTCTAAAGTGGGCGAATAGATGCTGCCAACCAGCTGTTGTAATGCACAGGGTAAGATGTGCTTGGGCTTGAATATAAACAAACGTGCACATGCAGTTCATGCATATCTCGGCATTTACATGGCTTAGTGTCTCTCCCCACCTTGTCCCAGCTTTACCAAAGATTTAGTTTCAGGTATTAAAAAGACAGTTCTAGCTCACGGGCTTGCTACTTTACCATTCTTGTGACTAAGCTGAAAGTGATACTGTGCATCTCTCTTAAGTTGCCTCAGATTCCAGGGCCGTCTATGGACTTGTTGTGTTATAGCCAACTCTGAAGCAGCAGGGGAAATGCTGCACAAACTGTCACAGCTGTGACCACTCCAAAGATTAGGAAGGGGAAAGAGGAAAGAAATGCATTTTGCCAGCTCATCAGCTAATAAAGGCTGGAAGAGAGAACAGGTATTAGATCCAGTATGGTGGTTTTTTTTTTTAAAAAAAAAAAAAAAAAAAAAAAAGCTTGTGCTGAATGACTAAATGTTGCAGTGATGTGGAAGAGGCAGAGCTTTGATAATGCTATGTAATACTTTGATAAACATGAGTAACCTCCACATCACAGAGCTCTTGCAGAAAAGGTTTGCAGTTATTAAAAGAATTACTAAGCTTAGGACTTAGGGTAGTCAGTATCTCTATCTGGTCATAATTTTACATTTCTGTAGTGAGTTGCACCAGAAAATGAGCCTAAGGTTGCTTTAAAATATGAGTTAACAATTTATCTAAAAATCAAACAAATTCTGCTCCTCTAAAATACCACACCTAACAATGACCTCTGTAATGATTGTGGTTCTAAAATACCGAATCCACAACTCCTCTGGCTCCTTCCTCATGTACAGAAAACATTACATCCTTGCCTTTTGAAAAGGACCAATTACAAAGTAAAACAATCTTCTGAAAGCCTCTTCTGAATATAGTAATGCTGGTTCTTTTTAACAAACTAATAAAGGATGTCATAGCGCTCAGGAAGAAAACCATGCAAGTGTCTTTCTCCTGTGAGTATTGTTACTACTGTAGAGCTTCTGTGATGTTTGTTTTTATACTTTAATAGTTATGAACTTATCAGAGAGAAATTTAATGATAGCGTAAGTTGATGTGGTAAGTAAGTGTGGAAGGACCTGCCCAGCACCTCTCCCAGGTGCCCTTTCTGAACTTAATTGTACCGGTCTCCTGCATTCCTTTGTATGAGCTGGGTTTTTCTTGGGGGGTGCATGGGAGAGAACTGTAAGCTGGACTGGCTTTGGAATTGATCTGGTTGAAAAACCATCTGCTTATTGAGCTATGTTTAGTGTTCATACCAGTCAGGTCCCTAACACTTGCCCCAGCTGGGGGAAGCAGCCGTTTGCAGGTGGTAACGACCGAGCTGCTGAAAAGAACCAGCACTCTTGTTTTGCCGGCTCCTCGGGTACCGGTGTTGGGCAAATGAAAACCTGAACTATACTGTATCCTACTGATATTTAGTTGACCCACTTGAGCACAGCTTTCTGTTCAGAAATCCATGCAGGCCCCATGCAGTGGCACGGGTTTGAGTTTGTGTCTAACTCTTAAGCCAAGCCGCAGGACTAGGAAAGCAAATGACCAGGAAGAAAACTGCCTGGTAAACGTTTTTACTACTTCCTCATGTGTCTTTTGCTGGAAGGGACACCTGTAGCAGCTGTGGCTGATGACCACGGCCCACCTGTACGGGGCTTCCCTGACTTTGCTGCAGCACAGCTCCCTCTGGTCAGTCTCTGCAACAACCTCTAATGTGCTGCTTTTTCCTACAGCCGCAAAGACTTAAGCCGAGTGATGCTGCACTAACGCCTGTGGCTCGCAGCACAGGCCTGGGTTCACGTGCTGGGCTGGTGCTCGGCGGCTTGTGGCGGTTTCAGCTGTAAAGCGGCCCTACTGCGGGGCGGGCGGCGGCAGCCGCCAGGCACCAGCGGGCGGCGCGCGAGCTCCGCGGCGGAGCTGCCTGGGGCACGTTGCCAAAAATGTGTGCGTGTGCACTGAGAAACTGTCCTTCATCTCTCTTTGTAATCAGAGTGTTTGTGAATAGCTTCTGCAGAGGGTGTGTATACAGTAATAGGGTTGCAATGCTCCTTTCTACCTGGAGATTAGATTATAAAATGGGCCTGAAAGTAACTCCGGACATATGTGTATGTGTTTCTGTAATTGGTGGTGTTGGGAGAGTCAGTAATTAGATTGCACTCAAATTATGGCAATAAGTTGAAAAGTTGGTCTTTTGACTTGTGTGCTCTGAAGTGGTATTATTGCCACTACTGAAGCACTGAAAACACTACGGCAAAATAAACTGTTTTCTTCCTAGAGCTTTCTGCTTTGTTATCATACACGCCAATTCCTAGACTATCTAATGCTTCTTAAAGCCACAAAGATGTAAAATCAAATTACTACATATCTGTTCCCATGTCCACTTGAAAGTATCGTTATTGGTCTGCACTCTTCTTGGGGTGGACCATCACACTTCCCACCATATCTGAGCAAAATATTATACTCCAGGTTGTGTTTTACACGGAGAACGCAGAACAAACTAGTCTATGCGGTTGACAGGTTTACTAGACGCTTCCTGGAATCCTGAGTTCTAGAAAAACAACTCTACTAGGCCCTTTTTAGCAGGCCTCTGACTTTCCAGCATAACACTCATATTGCTACTGCACGGTGCCTACAGCTGCAGACTGCTTTAACCAAACCAAACCAAAATGAAAAAAAACCAGAGGCTCCCAAACAGCCTCTTCCCCTCCTACTTCCTTTTGCCCAGAATCAGTAACTCCACTACCAAGCACTCTCCCTTCTTGCTTGTGGCTCTGTGTAGAAACCCAACTACCACAAAAACCCATCCAGAGGGATGGATGGCAGAGCCCTGCTTGTTCTGGTTACAATTACTGCTGTGGCTGCTTGTGCCTGTGTGTGTGAGTGTTTGTTTTCCTACCGCTTTTGAGCCTATACAGTTGTCAGTAGAATGAGAGAGAGAGCTTTATTGTCTGACCTAAGGTACTGTTTGTTTGTTTTAAGTTTATTGCAATCATAATTGCTCTTTAAAATGTTAAGTATAAATAATAGAAGCATTAATCATGCTTGTAAACTTGGGCAATAAGACTGAAATGGATGATCCTGCTTTTTTTTTTTTTTTTTTAAACATGAGCTGTATTTGCAAGATAAAGTAAGAGGCTACTGTTGGAGAAAAAGCGCTCATAGAATAAACTGACACGTGGTGAGAATGCTTCACTACTGAAAGGAATGGAAGTTACTTACAAAGATGCAAGCGTGTTTAGACATGCTAGCACCTGCTGAAAATTACTTGAGGAATTCTCAAAACTTGTTGTAAATGGTTTCATTTTGTTATTTGATGACCAATGTTAAATGGAAAAATATTCTAAATAAGCTTACAGTTTCTTTATGGCTAGCATTTAGTGCAGAGTAGAAAAAATGCCTACTATTAGTACGATGGAGAAGACGACATGCACCTGACCAATTTTGCTGCAGGGCTGTCCACATTTACCTTGTGTACGTAGGAGCTGGAAAGCTCCTGCTCGGAAACTCTATGCACAGCTTCTGATACTGAAAAAGCCATCAATTCCATGTACAGTCACTATTTGTTTGTTTTCCAAGATTGGAAATACTTGGGCCTGCCCTTAGGCAAAAGCCCTAATACAGTAGTGTCTTTTTTATTTCAGGCCTTTACATAACCTTCAGAGGATATATGGCCTCTAGCTGGTGTGGTCAGTGAAGGCTCAGGCTCGGCAGTGAGTCAGAGCAATGGTGCAACACCAAACAGTGCTGCCAGCTGGCTGCCTGCCATGGGCTAGGCTAGGTGGCCCATCTTGCTACAGAGGGAGGTAACAATAATCTGTCAGGGGGAAGGGGAGAAGGAGAGAGACTGTTGGGAGGAAGAGAAGCTGAGACGGACATAGGGGTGACATGAAGGTTGTAGAGAAGCTGCAAATACAGCTTTCTCGGCAGAAAAAGTCTGAATTTCCTCTTGTCTCTCCCCTCAGTATCATTTGGCCCAGCGCTATAAGAAAGAATTAGTTGAATGTACGCAGGGCTTGTTACTTAACAAGGAAGAGGGGCACCCTCTCTGGGACCGGAAGGCTATTGAGGTGTACAGCATGGATGTTTACTTGAATAGCTGCGGACTGCAGAATGTGGCTGCACTAACCATTACCACGAAAAGTCTTTAAGCCTTACTACACTGGACTTTATTTCTAGCTGCTGATGTAATTTTCCTTGTTGATTTTAATATGCCTTGGGACATCCAGCTGTTACTAATAGCAATTTCTTTGAGAATCGCTGTTACGTTGTTGGTTCAACCACACAAATAGGAAGTCATCAGCAAGAAGAAACACTAACTGCTTATTCAATAACTGATTTTTTTTGCCAAAATTGCTGAATAGGCAGCAGTCTTTGACAATGAAGTGGCATTCAAATTCCTACTACAGTGAAATGCCACTAACGAGCAAGAGAACAGAATATAAAGGGCTAAATTAAAGTAGAAACTGTTTAGTCGCTGAAAGCCTTTGTATTTTGTAAGGCCTTTAACATTGTGAAATCCCCTATGTATTCAACAGAAAACTTCTCTCTCGTGAAATCCACAGATCAGTGATAGCATGGGAACAAACACAGAGGTTTTGCCGGCTCTGGCTTTTCAATCAAGACCTAGAGCAGCTGCTTTCAGCGTTGAGAAGAGTTGTGTTTCCATCCCTGCTAAGCCCCTGATCTTGGTTCCTCCTTTCGGCTGTGTCTGGTGATAGTTTTGATGCTTTTGACACTTGGCTGTTGGGAAACACCTGGCCACAGCAGTAGCTTTATTCCCTCCTCCCCTCCCAACTGCAGCTTAGAAGGCCGAGTGACTGAAATAATCTTGTACTTGACACAAAAAGTTCAGTCATTTTCCTGCCAAGGGCAAGTTTGAATTCAGTACTATCTATCGCCCAACGCTGAAGCTAACACCGCTGCACAGAAGTGGTGCAGCAGGCAGGAGTCAAAGTCGCTGGCTGAAACAAAAGGACCACGAGCCAGAGTTTCTGGACTGACAAACGGCCATGGAGCATATCGCAGCTACTGTTACTGATCTGTAAACCAGAAGGGATATAAGGCCTAGTTAAAGCCTGCCAAGTGTTTTGATATGCTTAAGTAGAAGGTACCTTGCACAGTTAAGGTATTAAGAGTGGATATATTGGAACTGGTTCACCTTCATTTCTAAAGACCCGTGATGAAATAGGTATTTTGAAATCCTATGGATGATGAGACCAACTTTGAGTGCAGCTCAGTAGCATAATGAGATCATCTATGTACACAATATAACTTTATCAGCCATGAATGATTTGAATGTATGAAGTGACACACAGAAATTGACTCTTCTGTCTCTGATTTAATGTAAAATCTTACCCAGCTGCTCCTTGGTCAGGTACTTTCAGGAAATCCAAGCTGTCTGGTTGCTCTGAAATCCTGCCTGATCCTCCTGACAGCTGCTGTGGTAAAGGTGGTCGGATCATATTTGTGTACAGGTTTTTCTGATTGGCTCGTTGATTTGCTGGGACTTGGGAATGTGGCACAGACTGTGGGGGGGTTATTATGCCATTCTGATGATGACCTAGAAGTCAAGAAAGCATGAGCACATCCAGGCTAAATTACAGCTCAGAAAAGATAGCCTTTTTCCTGTGTTTGTTAGTGGTTCAGCTGTCAGAGAGAGACTCAGCTATCAAGGAACTTAAAGCGCTAATCCTAAACTTTCACTTATACATGGTTTCAGGTTCACTGATTTTTAGACTTATGACTTCATAGATTCTTGCTCAAGTTTGAGCCATGTGGCTAGACTGTTGTGAGTGTGGAAGAGGATTTGCAAAGCTCTCAGCTGAATTCAACCTTATCAATGTTACTCAACATGTAACTCCCCTGCCTCTATTTAAAAACAATGCATAAAATTTTATCCAGATGGTCTTCAGCTGCAGGGTCTTCAGCTGAAGCTATGTAGAGTTACTGGACTCTGGATTTTTTTTTTTTTATTTAAAAAGTTCAAAGACCAAATGCCTGAAATTCTGTCCAACTCCCTGAATACTTGGTGGACTTTTTTTTTTTTTTTTTTTTTAAGTTAATTACAAATATTTGCCTAGTTAACAAGCAAGTTTAAAAAGATTTGTTCCTACTTTGATAGCTCAAAATGTGTGTGAATTTTCCAGGCGATGATAAGGGTAGATGCTTTTAAATAACTATGCCTCTAAAGTGAATTTAAAACAAACCTACCCATGTTTGAGCTACTTAAAGGATCAGGGCTTAAGGAGCTCAATCCTGCATTCTTTGCATTCTTAAAACTCCCACTGAATTAAATGGGAGCTATGTTTATATTAAAAATTAGAATGGTTACTGCTGTGGGGTGATCCTCTCCTTTTTTCCTTGTGATTATGCCAGCTGAAAATTAGCAGAATGACTAGCTGTGCAGAGAGCCGAATTCATAATTATGACTTGAAAAAAAGCCTGCTGCATTCAGCACCTAGTCTTCACTTCTGACATTCTCTTGGTGCTATGGCAGACCTTAAGTAGTCATGAACTTATACATAAAACTCACTTTGGGCCCCAAAGTAGGATTAAGCTAGTACAGCATGTACATTATGGCTATATAAATAAAGTTGTATTTAACTCTGACTATATATGCAACAGCCTGTTCAGCTACTGGACCACTGTAATTTCAAAATGGACATGAAAGTAGCAGCATACGTTTCAAATGATGAAGGATGATGGCTCACAGAGTTTCTTTCCCACACTGTGGAAGCAGGATGAAGAAGGTTGTTTGTGCCTTTCAAGGAGGCAGATGCCCAAATCACCCTACTGCCTCAGGCTCCTTGGAACTCCTGGCTGATCTCCTCGGAACTCTTTTATACCTGTTATCTTTTTAATCTTAGTTTCCAGTTATAGTTAGCTATTTTACAAAAGGGTTTGTAACTTTTCTTTTTTAAAATAATGTAAGATAAGGCAATTGAATTGAGGGCTTGGTGGAAGATTTCTGCTCATGCTCATGCTTTAAACAGGCTACCTTAATACATAAGGGTCAATGCCAGCATTTAACTTTAGTAGTTACACTTGTCCTGCCAGGTTCATGAACATCTGTAGTGTAACCTGAGAGGAAAGGTAGCCCAGTGTCTTGCTGCACAAAAAGGCAGGGTCTTCTAATAAAGACCCTCTGTTGACCGTTCAGCAGTTGCCACAAGTCTTGGAGGGATCTATTACTAACAGGCCACACTGCAGGTATGGACATCAACTGGGGCCAGTGGCTTGAGTACAAATCTACATTCAAACTGTTTTAACGTGAGGAAAGTTTGGGCTTGGTCTACAGTCACAAGGCTTTCCCAACCTACCCAATTATTTTTGTCTTTTTCATGCAGCTGTAATACTACTGAAAGGGTCTTTGACAATGTTGTTCAAACAGATGTCCCTTGTTCTAATTCACTCTATATGACTATTTGGTATGAACAGCAGTGTTCTCTATCAACAGTCAGAAGCCATAGTTTGCAGACTGGCTAACAACTTCTTTAACTGCAGCAATTTAAATCTCTTGACACTTTACTACAAGCAGTTCTTGCAGATCGTGCACTCCTTAGTTTGATTCATACTGCCGTGAGGTCTTACTGGGATCAGAAGCTGCCTGTTTAATTTGGTGACCAAGGCTGGTTGTACCTCTGACTTACACTCTTAGCATTGTGCTTCTCAATAAACAGCAGCTGACTGAAAGAGAACCCTTTGTCAGAAAAAAGGGACCAAATGCCTGAAATTCTGTCCAACTCCCTGAATACTTGGTGGACTTTTTTTTTTTTTTTTTTTAAGTTAATTACAAATATTTGCCTAGTTAACAAGCAAGTTTAAAAAGATTTGTTCCTACTTTGATAGCTCAAAATGTGTGTGAATTTTCCAGGCGATGATAAGGGTAGATGCTTTTAAATAACTATGCCTCTAAAGTGAATTTAAAACAAACCTACCCATGTTTGAGCTACTTAAAGGATCAGGGCTTAAGGAGCTCAATCCTGCATTCTTTGCATTCTTAAAACTCCCACTGAATTAAATGGGAGCTATGTTTATATTAAAAATTAGAATGGTTACTGCTGTGGGGTGATCCTCTCCTTTTTTCCTTGTGATTATGCCAGCTGAAAATTAGCAGAATGACTAGCTGTGCAGAGAGCCGAATTCATAATTATGACTTGAAAAAAAGCCTGCTGCATTCAGCACCTAGTCTTCACTTCTGACATTCTCTTGGTGCTATGGCAGACCTTAAGTAGTCATGAACTTATACATAAAACTCACTTTGGGCCCCAAAGTAGGATTAAGCTAGTACAGCATGTACATTATGGCTATATAAATAAAGTTGTATTTAACTCTGACTATATATGCAACAGCCTGTTCAGCTACTGGACCACTGTAATTTCAAAATGGACATGAAAGTAGCAGCATACGTTTCAAATGATGAAGGATGATGGCTCACAGAGTTTCTTTCCCACACTGTGGAAGCAGGATGAAGAAGGTTGTTTGTGCCTTTCAAGGAGGCAGATGCCCAAATCACCCTACTGCCTCAGGCTCCTTGGAACTCCTGGCTGATCTCCTCGGAACTCTTTTATACCTGTTATCTTTTTAATCTTAGTTTCCAGTTATAGTTAGCTATTTTACAAAAGGGTTTGTAACTTTTCTTTTTTAAAATAATGTAAGATAAGGCAATTGAATTGAGGGCTTGGTGGAAGATTTCTGCTCATGCTCGTGCTTTAAACAGGCTACCTTAATACATAAGGGTCAATGCCAGCATTTAACTTTAGTAGTTACACTTGTCCTGCCAGGTTCATGAACATCTGTAGTGTAACCTGAGAGGAAAGGTAGCCCAGTGTCTTGCTGCACAAAAAGGCAGGGTCTTCTAATAAAGACCCTCTGTTGACCGTTCAGCAGTTGCCACAAGTCTTGGAGGGATCTATTACTAACAGGCCACACTGCAGGTATGGACATCAACTGGGGCCAGTGGCTTGAGTACAAATCTACATTCAAACTGTTTTAACGTGAGGAAAGTTTGGGCTTGGTCTACAGTCACAAGGCTTTCCCAACCTACCCAATTATTTTTGTCTTTTTCATGCAGCTGTAATACTACTGAAAGGGTCTTTGACAATGTTGTTCAAACAGATGTCCCTTGTTCTAATTCACTCTATATGACTATTTGGTATGAACAGCAGTGTTCTCTATCAACAGTCAGAAGCCGTGGTTTGCAGACTGGCTAACAACTTCTTTAACTGCAGCAATTTAAATCTCTTGACACTTTACTACAAGCAGTTCTTGCAGATCGTGCACTCCTTAGTTTGATTCATACTGCCGTGAGGTCTTACTGGGATCAGAAGCTGCCTGTTTAATTTGGTGACCAAGGCTGGTTGTACCTCTGACTTACACTCTTAGCATTGTGCTTCTCAATAAACAGCAGCTGACTGAAAGAGAACCCTTTGTCAGAAATACTCTGGGGAGTGTAAGGAAAAAAACCACTTGGGAAGTGGTGGGCCAATGGGATATTGTTCTCTCCTCTGAGTTCATAGGCTAAATTAATCATATCTCACAAGGGCAGAAGTGAAACACCCTAATGACATCAATCTCGTGAAGGAAAAAAAAGCTACTTACTGGCACGGCTGATATGCTTCAAAAAGTTGTTACGCAACACGATAGGACAACAAGATATAAATTGCACTGCATATTGTTTTGCATATGGCACTGAAAGCAGTTTCATTGCTAACCATTGTCTAGGTCTGTGCTGAGTGTATATATTTTTGCCCTAAAAGGAAAGCGAACAAGGCTACGGGGTATTCAGCGTTTTATAGAGAGGCTGACCATGCCAGCATCCCTAACAACTGGGGCATGGCCAATGGGATACCAGTTTGATCGGCACCAACATCCAACAACATAGTTTATTAAATCCCTACAGAGTTGAAAAGCCTTTTCAAACATACATGTTTCAGTTAGGCTCATTCAAAGAGTATTTGAAAGCCTCACTAGGAAATTTCTACGGTGAAAAAAAAGTCAGATGACAACAATAAAGGACTGACTGGGCATTGTTTTCGCCCAAGACAAAGACGACTTACCTGGAGGAGGAGGTGCAGCTCTCATAGGGTACGTCTGACCTTGAGACCTGCTGGAATACCCTCTGCTTTGGGTAAGGTTCCGTCTAGTAGGACCTATAAGAAACCAGCAACATTTTGTTAGCCTTTCTGACTAAACTCATTAGACAAGTCCTTCTGGCTGCCAGGCCTCCCTGTGATCAGACAGGGCTGATCTTTAGGGATAAGGAATCTGCCTCCTAGGGAGGAGCCATTCAGCCACATGATTTAAATTGAAGCTGTCTGAAGGCTGCTGTAAACGGGACACAAAAATATCATTTGCTGTATGGACTTGTTTTAGAAACCACTGACAGCTGACACAGCAGTACTTTTAGCGATACTGTTTCTGATCAGTAATTTTTCTGTGCATACAGGTACACGTTTTCCAGTTCTGTGATACCACGTGATTTCTCCAGATGAGGAGAATTTTTCACTGGCCTGTTTACTTGCAGTCCCCCGTTTGACAGAAAAACAGTTTAGCAAAACATTTCCAGCTCTCATTAAAACATAGATGTTTTACATTGAAAGGAGACTAGTTCTTGCTTTTCCTTACTGTCCATGGCAGCAATGCAGGCAACGCTTTCCCATTCTGCCCACAGACTCTTTTTTTCTTCACAGCACAGAAACAGTATGAGAAAAAGATGAAATATGAAACCTCTGAGACTCATATAGTTGCAGCTCAGCCTTTGCTGATGTACAGAGGTTACCTTTCCTCATATCACAACTTGTCCTGTCCTGAGGCAGACCTTTCTGCATCAGCAAGACTGTAGGAATGGAGGAGCTTAAAGCAGTGACAGGTTCTTCCTCAAACTGCTCGGCTAATGTGCTGTTTGTATTCTATCACATGATTAAACACATTCCTTTTGCCAAAGGGACAAGACTTTCAGACACCTCAGAAAGAGTCACTATATAATAGTGAAGGAAACAAATCCAGAAAGACTGCAGAGTCTCAGGGAACTCTGTTGTAGCGTTAGGATCTATAATTTGATCTTCTTCTCAGTGGTACAGACTGTTACAACCAATAAAGAAAGAACATACATACATGCTGAGTCGAGATGCAAGCAAGGAGAGAAAGAAAGAGTCAACCATTCACTAAATTTTCAAACCTCACTAATTTCTAAAGGAAAGTCATACTTACGGGAATTCTTTGGTAGGCCTGGTCCGATGCTGATCTGCAGCACTTTGTTACTGGGCTTGAGAATGGCTATATCACCTTGGCCTTGCATAAACTGTACTTGACGAGACCCACCGGAGCTCCAGGGCCCCCAATTCTCCTTTTTTAGCTTCACTTCAAGTCTAATATAAGCACATGAACATAAGCAAAAAGAAAAAAAAGCATTTACATGTGAAATCAGGACAATATCACTTAGCAGCAGATAAATTAGAATTATAAAATTAAAAAGGCCTGTAAAGTCTAAGAAACTGTATTCCTGGCGTAAATAAACTAACATAAAACACCTAACTAAATCTTTTTCATGCTTTTTATTTATTTTTTTAATATTCCACTTGATGGATACTTTTGACTTTCCCAGCAGAGCCACTCAAAGGCAGCTGAGCTGCTCTGGAAAGGATGGAGAGTGCAGCTTTGGGGGAAAATCTGCAAAGGGCTGAGCAACAAACGTGTCTGCCATCACGCAGATTCAGGCACTGCCTCTGCAGGAGCAAGCTAGTAAGTGGTCCATTTTTAAACAGTCTTCTGTATATGCTATTAGATGACCTATACATGCTTTAGCAGTGGGTTTTATGCATGTTCTGGGAGTATACATATTTTTGCATTATATATTTGAATCTTCCTAATTTAGAGGAGGTTTTTTTTTTTTTTTTTTCCTCCACATGTATATACTCTTTCCTATTTCCACACTATCTGCTCTGTACTGTAACTAGATATGAGCTAATGAAACCATGATTGGTCTTGGGCAAGACTGCACAGCTATAATACATTACATTTTTACAAGAACAAAACCAGTTACTCTGAGTACTGGCTTTGGATTTCCAGGCTATGAGAGTTTACACTTACAGGACTGGTTCACACTTCACCTTTTTCCTCCTGTGCCATTATAAAATTAAATTAATAAACTCCCATTATCATTTATACTTCTTACACTTCTTTGAAGGAAACAAAATAAACATGCAAATCCCAGGCTTGCTGCTGCTAATCAGCTTAAAGGGTAGGAGTATGAACAAAAACACATGTTTGTTGGGATAGTTTCCAGCAGGTCCTTACAGCTAAAATGCACGTCAAACATTCTGTAGCTTTGTTGGCTTGTTTCTGAAAATTGTTCACAAAATTATTCAGTTAATGAGGCTACTTTAGGCCCTCTCCCATCCTGCAGTCCTCTGCTTCTACCCCCCCCCCCCAAAACCCTCAGAAGAGACTTTATTTCAGATTAGCCCATTATGACTCTAGAATTGTCTTCTAAACTCTTCATCGTAATGTTTCCACGCCACTGGGACAAGGTCAACGAGTTTGAAGAGGATGCTCCTTTCTTGTGCTGGGACCTAGCAGCCAGCCCAGAGACAGAGCTTGGACTATGGCTGCACCTTCACTGCGTGAAGAGCAGCCTGGCCCTGGCCGTGGGGCAGTAGCCCGCCAAAGCTGTAGTCCCTGGGGCCAGTGCCTCCTTCCGTAGCATGAAGGCAGCTCAGCGACACTGAAGGCAACTCATCTACACTGAAGCCTTACAGCGCGCAGACAGTGGAAACTGGCTGCTGGCCCAGGTATGATCGCAGCCTGTTACTCTGAATAGCTGTGGCAGTCGGGTCTCCTTGCACGCTTAGCTTTTACACTGTGCTGCCTCCTATTAGTCTATAGCAAAGCTTAGTGTCAGGAGCTCAGAAACTTTCTGCCTAGGCAGCAAGAGCAAAGATTATTCTTGAAAGCCCATTGTGAAAAACGTAACTCACGTATTGCTAAATTTCAGAGGTAGTTTTCTTTGTGTTTTCTCTTCGTATCGTTTTGATAAAAGGCTTAAAAATTCAGTTTTGAAGACTGATTCAAGCAAGCTATCATATTCCTGCTCATGTAGAATGAAAATGTCATCCTGCATCGTACTGAAAAGAAAAAGCATATACCATTGAGGTTAAAATTTGAACAGCAAATATACCCAGCATTATAATGAGATTCCCAGAGTACTCATGGTTAATTTTTAAAAAGTAAGAAAGAAGTCCAAGCAGCATTAACTACAGAGCCTTGCCTTCAGAAAGCAGCTGATAATGGAATGCCCAAAACAATCCTTTTGAGAGATACGAATGCTAATTTGTCATTTTAAAGTAACTACTGTTACCATAAAATGAGAACGTGTGCTACATTTTAAAGTCCATATCTTCAATAATGGCAAAACATGTGATTGATTAGAGATGATTTAGAAAACTGAAAGACACTAGTCTTATAATAAAACTGAAACCCAAAGCAAGCAAATTCTGAATGAAAGTGCTGAGCTCTCCATTGTCTTTCACTTGCACTAGTTTAACATAGTCTAGAAAATACACGTGTTGGATAATTAGTTCCATTGCCAGCCTTGGATCAGCTCTTAATCACACCTGCTGAAGACATTGCAGACCACTTCACATAAATTGGTATCCACATGCCAAAACTTTGCAAGGCTGATTTGTGCCCTCCCAGAGCCCCACAGTGAAACCATTTGCTTCATGAGCCTTGGCCAGGATTAGTATTGTTCCAGCAGGCATGTAATTTGTTTACATGTGCATCGTTCTTCCTTTTAACAGCACGTTGGCTTACCTCCTCGCTATAACTGCGGTGCTGCCTGTCTGCTTCTGCATCCTCTCTGCAACGAGGTATAACCAAGCTTGCTAAATAAGCCTGCAAGACCTAAAATGGTCTTTATTATACCTCGTACAGTGTAACCACATGATGCCTCTGTGCAGGGAGGCGCCTCTTTGCCTGGCCACGGCTCCCTCTTTCTTCCTGACTCCAGTAACAAGAAAGCAACCATAAGGTGCTCGGTTCAGTTTGCTGATCCCACAGTAAACTAACTGTTTTTTTGACACTGGGTCAGAGTCCCATAGTACCAGCTTGCAGAAGCAGGTCACTACATGGGAGCACAGTGCAGGATCACACCCAGAAGCATGGTGGGGGATACTGCCAAGCCAGGGGATGCCCTGCAGGCAGCCCTCATGTTTGCACTGATGTGGCATGAAACCTCTAATTTCATGTGCGATTTCATGATCAGTTCAAATCAATTTGACGTTGCCGTGCTGTCAGAAGGGGCCGTCTTCTCATCTCTGCTCCTCACCCCTGTTTCCCATGTGCACTTCTGTTCTTTCCCCAGGGCCAGAGCACCTCTCCCCCTCTTTTCCGGTAGATTAATTTTCAGCTTCTCTTGCTTTTCAGCCACCCAAGCGCAAGCTAGTGCTAGGAAACATGTACGGCAGGGAGAGGGGCAGTGGCAGGACTTTTGACAACTGTGCAGAGCTGAGACTTGCTTAAACCTATGACAAAACACTTATCACTGGCATAATACTTTCCCAAAATAGAGTACAAACGATTATTCATATTGCTGACAGTGGCAGTCTGCATCAACATTGAAATTAGGCCTCTATCTCATTCTTTTAATGAAGAAAGGAGCATAGTTGGATATTGTCAAATATTCCCAGCAGGAAATGTGTGGTTCCTTTTCATCATGCTTCATTCCACAGCAGCGAGCCTGAAGCCAAAGTTTCTCTGCTACTTTGTCAGTGCTGCTGGGCAAATTATTATTTGCTCTAATAGCAGACTAACTCTACCCTATTCCTGTGCATATAAAACCATCTGTGAGATGGTTTACAAGATATATACTTTTTTTTTTTTTTTAAGAGAAAAAAGCTGAAAGTAAGAGAAAGAAAGCAAGGCACAAAGCAAGGCCACCAAACTACCCTAACTGTGATTGAAGAAGGAGTTGTTGCCAGAATGATTTGTACCAACTTTCTCCACAGCTTCTCAGACTCAAAAAGAATCCTACAATTGTTTCACTCAAGAGCTATTTAAGAGGAAATTAATATAGTGAAGTTCCTCCCTTCAGCAAGCAGCTCCTCTCCCCGTCACAGCACATGCTAATGGTTATTAGATAGCACAGATGAAGTCGCAGATTCATGTGTTATGTTCGGATTCACACTCTGACTCTTACTAACATCCTCGGGCCGCAGTTTCTTCTAGAAGTTGAAATTTGTACACTATTGTTAAATGAACTGCGTTAGTGTGCTGCTTTGTTACCTGCTTGCTTCCATCTCATCTTCTGCTGCCGTTACTAACATTAGAAAATACTATTTTACTACTGCAATTTCTTTAAACACATTAGATATCACCTAAGCAAAAGAGCCAATCTCAGTTTGCATTTGCATCTCTCTGGAGAAATGCACCTAACGGATCCTGTTGCATTTAGAATTAGCATTTATTAAGTGATTTCAGAGTTTTTTCCTAACAACTGCATACTAAAAACTTGCCAGTAGCACATCACTCAGAGCGTCACCATCTGCACTGTGGAGGTCAAGGCTGTGGAAAACCAGGCCTTTTTGCAGCCAGGTGAAGGGAAAGCCAAAGTTACATATTTTCACTGAGGAACAACTTCTCTACATGGTTTGCACAGCAATAAATCACCCAGAGAGGGCATTCATATCTAATACAAATCTATATATGCATTATTTCAACAATTCACAGTAACTCAAAGGTAAATTAATTATAGCACATAAGGAACTGAAAGAAGTCGAAGCTCAGAAAGGAGCTGCCTTCTGTCACAGACATAATTAAGTCTGTTCACCCACACAGTGTTTTCTGATCACCTAGCAATTACACCAGGAGCATGCTCTCTCCCAGCAGGTTTGCCTGATTGCTGACTCTTTAAATCTGAAAGAGGTGATCAAGACCAGCCTTTTGATCATCATCACTTTTCATGTGATTGCTGTGGGTGGTGACTCTCTCTAGAGACTGTGAGTATCTTTTCATTTACTTTATGCAGAATTAAGAATAACTTTATTTACCTACCAGAGGTGCTCTTGACATTACGTACAAAATTACAGTTCTCACCTACTTAACACATTAGGCAGAGTATGAGTAGTACCACTACCTATTTTTCTAAAAATTTAACCACCACCACCACCATCACGCTTCATATCTCCTTTCAAACTCTGAAGCGGTGGGATCATCCTGGGAAAGGATTCATGAAACTATGAATTCACCTAATTACACTGAAGTACCTCACTGCATTCAAAACAGCAACGAGAAACTTATGAAAACAGAGTAAGAGCATGACCTTCTTGCCTACCACCTCAAATCAAGCAAAGCTGGAGCCTCAGCAGGGCTCTGAAGGAGACCTATAAGAAAAGCCCAAGAACTACAGTAAATGTTACCCAGTCAGTGGTGGTATTTTTGCTGATTTGGCCAGAAGCCTGACTTAACAATACTGTTAGGATGGCCTGTGTCCCTGCTTATCAGAAGAATTTTAAAGCTCAGTTATTCATTGCTACTAAAAACACAAGAATCTTTCCATAAGAGTGAAGGTTGTCCTACTCAGTACCTTGGGACAGATTCCAAGCTGAGTGCTTTAAAGTGCAATTCCTTTAGTAGTATAAGTTATTATGTAGCATTGCTTGATGTTAACATGTGTCAATGCTGTTAATTATTCTGCCTTTCTTGTATATTTCCAAGCTTATATCAATATACTGTGCATAGGTTTCTTGAGATAGTTATTGTTTAGACAGCAAAGTAAGAACCTACTTATCCTCTCCTCCCCCCTTCCATTTAAAAATACAATATTTTGTTTTACATTCATCTAGTTAAAATATCACATTACCTGAAAAACAGTACAAACAAGAACATGAAACTTCAACTCCTTATGAAATTTCAAGGCTGCAATACACACTATAGCTAAAAAAAAAAATTCTGGATAAGCTCATGAAGAATGTAATTTCAATTATTTCCCTCTAAGACAAGGGTTTTGAGAGTCCCTTCAAAACCAGTCAGAAGTCAATTATCTTAGAGATGTAAAAATTTTAAACCACAGGGAGAATAAACCACAATTTTGAATACTTACGAGGGAATGCAAGTTAAAAAGAGCTAATACGATTTTTGTTTTGAGCCTGACATGTCTGAAAAAAACCTTTCTCAAAAATACATAGTTGGCAATGTATGCACCAATAAAGGTTTCTTTCTGTTCTACTACTTTAAAAGACTGTTTAAAGCTAAAGCCCTAGCACTTGCCACTGAGAATCTTATCTCGGATTCCAATGAAGCAGTAACTTTTGTAGCCTCTACACCCAGTGCTGTACTTCTAGTATGCTACCTCAATGCGGAGTTAAGATACCCCTTGAGTAAGACCTATTTTGAACTCAGTCCATACTAATCTGAAAACATGGAAAAGCCCTCTTGCCCCTTGGTTTTGTTTTGGGGGCTTTTTTGAGATATGTAGACAACCTGATAGGATGCAATCCTGAATCTGCTTCCAGCATATACAAGAACCAATGGTTTTTACAACACAATAATATCAATAAAGTAAGCTTAAAACATTTTTAGACATAATACAATATACATCTTTCTTTAGAACCAAGTACACTTGGTTTTACCTCAAAAACTCTTGGCGAACTGTTATTTACATGTGAGAGGAGTGTAACAGCTTTCAGTAACTTGGCAGACAGCCGTCTCTTTAGCTGACTCAATGTGACTGTGCCGTTGGAACGCTGCAGACCGAATTCGAGCGTCTGGCTGCAATCTGTTCGAGATTCGCACAGCACACACTTGGAGCAATAAAAAGACAGGTTCCACTCTCATTTTTAACCTATACCTACTACAATTGTTCGCTGTTGCAACTTTTGTTATAAAGATGTACGGTAAATAAAACACAGGGCTTGAAAACACCCTTCTGTGAGCAGACACGCTTTGCAGACTTTTCCCTCATCCTGAAACGGCTACGAGTTAAGAAGTTAGCAGAAATGTGAAATCTGCCATTTTTAAGCCCTAAAATGTCTGTGAGAAGATTTCTGACTTTGCTTTCTGATTTCAATATGTAAAGTACACTTGCTGCCGCCCTCTGAGGCTGGATTTGCATTCCCATTATATTAAATTACATTCAGTTGCCAGCTCCGATAAACTGCAACAACAAATACAAAGCTATTCGCAGACTTTGTTGTCCCCTTTTCAAAGGGATAAAGTGATGTAGACAAGAATACCTTTGTCTCATGGAAAGTCTCTTCCTAATTTTACTTACTCACCTAACTGGGTTTCTCCGCTCTTTGTGGACACCCCAGATACTTCCTGCAATCTGGGATTGGTTTGACATTGAGTCAGTAGAAATGATGAGAAATCAATAAAAATAAAGGTTTGAATTGAGAGAATAGCCCCTTAGGAAAGGAAGTGATGGACTCGCACAAGGTGTACTTACACAGAATCAAGAGTTACTTATGGGATACAAGCTTGAGTCAAAATGCACTAGAACCTCCTTGCACTAATTATCATGGTGAATAATAATATCCTTCACAGCATGCATTTTGGGGGACACACCAGAGAAGTGAGACCTTGTGTAAGTGAGCCATTTTAACAACTATTCAGAAAATGTTCATGTGTTGGCTGTAAACATAAACATCTACTCCTTTTAAGCACACTTAAAAGGGCTGGGAATGAAATACAGCTTCAGTTTTGCTTATCTACGAAATTTAATTGATATAGCTCATGTAACAGCCTTCATCAATTAGTTAATTCCCCCTGCCCTACACAAACTTCTCTGTCAATGCAAAGATATTTTCAAGGTACTAACCTTAAAGAAACAGAAAGAATTCTCTCCACTTCCATCCTCCGCTTTAAGACCTCCTTCACTTGGCCTTTCTCGGGACCTTGCTTTACCTTTTCACGCCCAATCAGATATACACCCTTTGGAGTGAGGACAAGATCTCGCTTCACACCCTGAAACACAAAATCGTTTGAAAACATATAGCTACACCTCTGTGATCAACCTCTGTAGATCAACTCCCTAATGTCATAGGGCTGCTCAAAAGATATGTAATGTAATGTGATTTGGGGCAAGGTCATTGGCTTTGGTTTGAGTAGGAAAATATTGATGTGAGGAATCATATGACGTGAGAGTCAGACTGCACTGAAAAGTATAATTTTCTGCCTAACAAGTCACGTGAGTCCTTTGTGCTGCGACAATAGCATTGAAAATGGCAATGTTCAGATCAAGAGGGTGTAATCGCTTCCCTGTGCCAAATATCACGTCTTTTAGGTTAAAGAGTATTTTTTTCAAGCTGGTATCCTAGGTGGTATGACACTACTGTTGTGGAGTTTCTATTACAGGATGGTGAAAAGACATGTGTATAACTCCCTAGCAGAACTGATGACTAATGGATGTTCCTCTTAATCCTACCTTAAACCGCCTATCATATTTTGTGACGGTATCTGCAAAGTCAATCTTCTCCCGTTTGCCCACAAACTGGCGCAGCTCTGGATGGTCTTCCATGCCTATGTAATCTCCCATGAAATTCCTGTTAATGCTGTTTCGTCTTCTCTCTTTCTTGTTCAGCAATAGATCGGAAGCTTAAATACCAAAAATAAACAGTCATTTGTAGTATTTACTATATAATTTTCTAAATTCATGCTCTGAAAGTGCTAACAGTTTTGAGCAGAATTACTGGGGAAGAAGCGATAACCAAATTGTTTATAATATGGAGAAAACAGTGAGAAACTGGTAACCCTTTATATAAGGAGCTATGTAATTTTTTTTTTCAAATCCATTCCTACTGAAATACACTGGCAGACTCAGCAGTCCTGATAAATCGGGAGTGCTTCTGGAACTATGGAAATTCTGACCCAGTATTTGCTGTTGGAAATTAAAGGTTAACTCTTCTAAACCCAAAATGTTGTTCATTCATACCTCAAAAAAACTGAGATGTTAAACAGGTATTCCACCATTTACGAGGGAAGTAATCTTGAATTAGTTTGTATCACTCCCAGGCCATCTAGGCTCTGTGTAACTGTGGGAAGCACTAACTTTCAATTCCCCTCGAAAATCCCTGATCTCCCTCCTACCTGCTCTAGCTTTGTTTTGAGAGTGAAGTACCAAGAAACCCATCATGCAGAGCACAGTGTAGAGCAGCCAACCTCAGCAGTGGTACCTCGGGGTCTAACAGTTGGCAGTCATTCCTAGTGGATTGGTTTACTCTACAGAGAGGGAGCTATTTCCTTCATTCCTTTGTAGCGCTCTTTCTATTTCTGGAATCATGTGTGAAATATCTGTCATGAAAAGTTAGGACCTACCTTCTTCTCTCATTTGTACATATTTTTTCCTGGCCACATACTTCCTCCATGCCTTCTGGATGGCCCGGGCATACCCATCATACTTCCTCTCTCTCATCTCTTCCAACAAAAATAGCTGCACAAAGAAAAGGGTACAGTGGATCAAACCTTTTACAGGAAAGGTCAGTTGGGGAAAAAGCCATATTTTACTTTCGGCTTCCCAGTGTATTTCACTCTAGACCCAAGCTGTTGTCTCTACTACAACCAAGGGGTCCAAGATCAGAATGTCAAGAAAACCTGTTTGGGAGAGATCTCTGAACCTTGAGTTGTCCTGGCTTATACCAGTCTACCCACCAACCCTGATACCACACTCTGAAGGAAGACTCTGGGTTCTCCCTGAAGTACTAACAGCTGTACCTCAAGGTTCTCCAGTAGACATCCATCCAGTCTCCATCTCCAGCCCACCATATTCTCAAAAATTCCCTTTCCTCTGTCAGAACCTTAGCATGTCTTATGGGGATTGGTGCCATGCAGAGCAAAACAATGCACTGAATTCACATGCCACTTCCTTCCTGAATTTCATACTGTCATGTCCATTCACTCCATTCTTCTCCAGCAGTTACGTTTGCAGGCTGGCTGCAGTCTTTACAGTTATGATGTTATGTTCTGGTATGATATAATGAGAGGTGATTCTAAAATGTTGGGGTAATCAAGAAGAAATGCTAATTTATCAAAAGTGAAATTGAAGTGCATCCCTTTCTTTTTGTGAACTTGTCAGGTCCATTGAAATATATGCAAGTTTAATGCAGTAGAACAATTTCATAATTACTGTAGGATACAGCATATTTCACCTTAGCTTTTTACATACTGTAAGTTTAGCTTAAAAAGAAAGAATTTCTTCTTTCTTCAGTAGCACAAGTACTTGGCTAACAATTATGGTATTAACTCAGTCTGCTGAGTTGACTGTTGTTTATTTCCCTCTACTGGGGTGTTAAATATTCATAAGCATTTTACTTCTAGCCTTCACGAGATAAAATTAGTAAAAACAAGTATATTAAGAAGCAGACTTAGGCATTGGGATCCCTTGTTCAATTTGCTGCTGTAAACCATGCAAATCTAGAAAAACAGTGTTGCTCATATTGATCTTAAAAGGAAACTAGATCTAGTGCAAGCCATTTCCACAGGACCTCACTTGCTCTTGTACAGAGTTATTTATTCAGGTGTTTGATGGAAATGTAAATAATAAAGCCTCCTGTATGCCACCCATAAAACCTTACTTCACTGTTAGCTGGCAACTCTCCATCTACAGAAAGCTTATAAAAATCCTTTCATAAACATGTAAGCACTAGATAGGATTTCAGCACGCAGCCTGAGTCCTCCTGATGTAAAAACGTACTCCGCTTCAGCGAGGGCCATAATCAAGCCCTTAACCGGTGCAATTCAGGTTACAGTAACAATACTGATGTTCTCTTGTGAACATGGGCCATTTATTTTCCTAACAGTAATGCTAATTGCAAAATCTCAATGCAAAAGGTCATCAGAATGAAGTCCAATGAAAATATCAAGTTAAAAATATAGTTCAGTAAAAGATAAGTTACAAGATACAAATACTGGATACATTATTTTTAAAAATATGTATTACACAGCCTCCTCTCCCACTCCCTCTGAGCAAATCCAGTATTTTTTCATCGTATTAGCAGGAGCAGGTGCTTTCTTTATTGGAGGAAAGAAAAATCGTAATTTACCATCTAAAGGTTCATTTTCCTCAAAAGTAACACGACCTTGGGCAATACTTTGGTAATAATAAGGTGAGAGCTGTTTGTCTTTTGTACTTAAAAATATAAAGTAAGCTTTAAGAATATATAAGTGACAGTACTAAAAAAGTTTTTGAATTTAAAAAATCCCCAAACTAATTTTAGTCCTCATAAAAATTAGCTTCATGGTTTTTCAAAAAATACGTTTTTAGAGAAACAGTATATAGTTATATACAAATATAAATGCGTTTAATTTAAAACTGAAAGTGCAACAAAAAAAATTTTTTACTATTTTTCAGTCAGCATCAGGTTGTCTTAAATGGCAGAGCTGCCCTTCAGTAAAACTCACAGAAATGCTATTAAGTGGCATTTAGAAACAACCAGGACGTAGTATTACAGAAATGCCTTAGAATGGGAAGACCCAACGTACTCTCCACTAACCACTACTCAAAGGATTGTTATAACGAATGATGCTGGATTAAATATTAAATGAGATGCTAGCGCTTTTCCAGTCTCTGATATTGTGTTCTAACATGCAAAGATGTTTTCCATATGATGTATAACACAAGGTAATTTGCACCCCTTCAGCAGCTTAAAGCATACTAATATAAATTTAGTACTCTCAGGGAGGCAGAGCCAAAAGAGAGTCTATATAGTAAAAGCCAGACTTTGAGAACTATCGCACCTACATTTGAAACTGCTTTTCCTGCTTACTTGGCTGTGCCATGTTCCTCAGTAACACTTAATGTGCACAAAAATGTACAAATGGTCCTGCATACATAACTGTCTTCTCCAGTAAAAAATTCCTAACCAAAAAGATAAAGGCTTATTTTGATACCTAATTTCAGGTAAAGCACCGAGAAGCTCAGCTGCAAGGTGCGTTGCACAAACAAAGCCTCTGAAACAATGAGGAATACATGTTTCTGAACAGAATATATTTTTTTCCATCTCAACTTTCCTGAATAGTGGTGTTAGAGAAACTTTTTTTGTGCAGTTTAGCAGCTACAGAATACAAACAGCGCTATGATGGATCCCTAATGTTTCCTTGAATGGGAGTTTGTTCCAGTCATTCTCTAAAGCAGAGTTATTCAGTAGTAATGCAAAACATTTCCTTATTATATTCATGGGCTATTCTCCTATTTTCATCAGAAGACCACCCATTTTCTTTTTTGGACTAATGGTCATAGCTACGTTTCATGACGTTCCTTCATGTAGGAATTTGTCTGACTGTGTCACTAAATGCGTCAGGATGACGAGATATGTGCCACCTGACACCAAAACGTCTTCATAGCTCATCTTGTCTTTCTGATGCATTTAAGGTCACTTGTATCAAACAGCGTCACGATCATGCAGGTTTTTTATGTGCTGCGCCCATTATACAAGCGCCTAGAATCCCTGCTGCACCCACGGCATCAAGGCACTGCCTACTGAGCAGCCTGACTTTTTTGGTGTTCCTCCCACCTTAGCAGATCTCATGCAACGCTTCTGAGTAGGCAGGCCTTTCATTTCAGCAAAACAGTAGCATTTAAAAACTCGTATCCTGCCACACTTACAGACTCTGGAGCTTTGATGAAGACTTTAGATTTCCCAAGTTGGTATTGGTCAGGATCCATGTTGACAGACTGGAGCAGGTGGAGAACTCCTTGTTTCTCGTCTCCTTTCCAGGAAGGCCACGTTGCTTTGGTCAGAATGGCGTATCTGAACAACCAAAGAGAAGAAGAGATTAAAACTTGGCATCAAACAGCAGCAGCAGAATACTGCCGACTCTTAGTCAGTATTACTCTTGGGGGGGGTCTGACCATGTGGCCCGATTTAGAGAAGCACAGAAAGACTTAAGAGAAGATGCACAATTTTAAGGTGCTCTTTAGCAAGATCGACCAACTGCAGTGAAAAGGGCAACAATGCCCAGGATTCTCCATTTCCAGATGCCAAGTTGTTATTTTGTGACTGCAGTCATTGATTACAGAAAGTTTTGCTTGCTCCTAAATCCAGGGTGAGGACATTTACTAGCAGTGGTTTATAGCCCAGTGTTAAGTACCTCCATCCTTGGCACTTCACTGCTTGCCTCCCAAGCAGGGGGTCAGTTTCCCATTAAAGCCCTGCTTTGTCCCCTTCCTTATTCTTACAAAGGCTTTTTGTGTTCCTAAGCAAGTGGCTGCTTCATTCTCCTAACCCATCTGTGGACAACAGCTGGTCTGCTCCTAGCTATTGGCCTTACCCCAGGAAGCCTTTGGCCTGGCCTGCCCTACAGGAGGGAAGATGCTGTGATGCTGGTGCTGTCCGGAGGTAGCACTGGGAACGGAGCAGGGAAGGAGGCAGGGAGGTACTCTGATAGCACGTGTCTGAGGCTGAGGTGAGCAGTCCTCTGGCTCATGGTGTTCTCTGCAAGCCTTGGAAATGAGGTGGATGCCAGGTTACAGCTGCTTTTAAACTGCCCACTTTTTCAGGCTTAACGTGGGCTTTTGGCACAGGCAGGCTGTGTTTACAGTTCTCCTGTTCCACTGCCTGGTGACGAGCGTGCTGACGGATGCCTTTAGCTGCCTCAGCGTGACTGGGGAAGCAACTTCTCTAGAAGCAACTACTGCAGGGCCTTGGAGAATGAGTGAGGAAAAGCTAAATTTGTGGCAAATTTTTTCCCCAAAATCTTTTCTGTGCTCCACTCTTGACAATTTTCTTTCATAATGCCTTAAATGTATTTGAGTTACATAAATCATGCTTATTAGTAAAACTATTCCACTAATTAAAAAAGCAAAAAAAATGGATTCAGTTTGTTATAATTCCCAAGTTCCTGTTTTTCAGGAAGATTTAGGCAGCTTCTAAGTATTAATAAAAATGTTCTCAAAATCACACAGGGAGCTGTTAGAAAATTCATTCAGGGGATGTTCATTACTCATTCTTGTCAGGTCTAAAACGTTATCCAGCCAGGGAGCAGAAACAGCGTCATGCAACAATAAGGTAATAATACCACACAAAGAAAAATAGCAAACAGTTAAAAAGAAATAGACTGCAATAAGTCATAATATAAACATTATTTGCTGAAACTACTCCAAACGTTTCTGAACAGTGAGTACATGGAAAGAGAAGGTGGCTAACTTGTGAACAATTCAGTAGGATGCAAAAGGGTCTGTTATTTTGTTCAAATCTTATTATTTAGTTATCCAATGTTCAGGTACTATGCGCTATGGTGTAACAAAGTATCTCTCATACCATCTTAAATATAGAAGCACATTATATATAATCAATGATTATAAGACAATGTATACCTTTATATACTTTATCATATCATGGATAGACAGATGCAAAGGAGTGTAAGGGGTTGTCAGTTAAAGTAACACACAGCTTATTTAATTAACAACCTCTTTTGCAGGATCATCAGGTACGTTCTACAGTACGGTTGTATAAGGAGGTCTAAGCAAGTCTGAATTTAAAGGAGCTGAAGTTAACACAGGCCATCAAAGCTGTGAGAGCTTCCACACAACAGCATTTTACACTACCTTTCAGCATGCTACAAGTTCTACCCTACATGTTCTGAGAGGAAGAAATAAAATAATGACTTAAAAATGACTCTAAACCTTTTAACATAAATAGAGTTCTCAGGTACCAAATAAGAATAGATTTGAAATTCTCCTTTTTCATAAGTTCAAGTTAATTTTATACATCTTACTAAGAGACTGTGAGAAGTCTAAAGGGCAGAAGAAAGATTATTCTATAACATGCATCCATTAAGCCCTCCAACAATTCTAGAATTAAATATGCTATAATGCATGAATTCACTGCCATTTAGAAAGAGCACTTTCCTCCACTGTATTTGTGCATGCTTAATTATAATTAATGCTGTCCTCTAAACTGGTTGCGTCAACATCCATATATCTAGGTTTTTCAAGCTTGCATGCAATTTGAGTTTGCAGGGGGATTTTGGCACAAATACCAAGTATGTTCTTAAAATGGTTCTGAAAAAATTCCAACTCATGACTGCCAAACAAAAAGAAGTTATCTATTATAAACTCACAGTAAGCAGTTAGGTCATATGCCTAAATATGGGAATATGGAGTTCAGCTTTTGGATTGGTTATGCTTTAAAACACACAGGCCTTTTCAGTGACTGGCTTTTTGCATGCAAATTTCAAACATAAAAGTCTATTCAGACCAGAAATGTCCACTTAAATGAGCTGCCAAGGAACTCCCAACACAAACAACTGTACAAGCATGCATTTCCTGTCCATCCATGCCGCAGTCCACTTCTACTCACACTGACTCATGGTGTCAGAGCAGAGCTTCTGGGTGCTAGAGAACTGCGAATGGAAAGGTTGCAGCAAGAGTTTTACTTGTAACAAAATGTTAAATTTAACAAGACTGGTTCGAAACAAAGGTCTAAATTCAATGGAGAATGGTTTCAGTTGCCTGTGGATCTCTGCATATGAAGAGAAATGTAGAAATATATTGACCTTTGTGAAGTACCATGTGGTTTGCTCAGTGCGGATCTCACAGGGAGACTTCCAGAGCTGCACAGCTCTCATGCATAATCAATATTCAACCGTTACGGAGGCTAGATTTAGTACTTGTTGTTCATTTGTTATTCTGGCTCAGCAATTGTATTCTGGTAGGGTAATACAATCTGAAGCATGTTTATTTTCATGTAACTGGGTTTGAAGATGGTGAAGAAAAAAAAGTAAGATTAAGAATTGCTCCATAAAGAAAATTGAGTTCCATACCTTAAAATATTTTTAGGTCTATTACTAGATGATTAGAGCACTCTCATATAATTGTAAAGTATTTTCAGTGGCTTTTTTCTGTCCTGCCTGATGAATCATACTCTGCTCTTTGAAACAATTAATTGCTTTTTTGTTTTTAATTCTCAAATGTTACACAAAGACTTCCAATAAAAACTCATCTGTCATGTAGTGTCCCAGTTTTAGCATTAATTAACCATATATCTCAATTTTCTAAAACAAAAGTTTAATGTTGTATAAATCTTGAAATTGCTTTCATTTAAGAGTGTTTTAGTAGCAACTGGAGGCAGTTAATCCATCCCAACAGCTGCTCCTAAGACATTGAAAAGAGATTTGGTGTCACAGAGCTCTGACTTGTTTTCACTCAATGAACAGCTGCAGTGGTTTGAGCTGTTACCCTTCCCAGCTGTTTGAACACCAACATAAGGATTTAACATGAGCAATTTAAGCTAATATATTACCCTTTGCACTGAAATGGTTGAAAGGCAGGCTTACATTTCTTCACCCATCCTCTGTCATAGCAAAGAAAAGGTTGGAGCGCTGCAGCAGTAACATTTTAAGCAAAGCTTAGCAGCTAAACATTCAGATTCCAGTGTACACAGCTCAACTTTCCCCTATATTTAATTATTTTTACCTCTTAATAACACTACAAGAGCAGATGAGGCCTTAGGCAAGTTAGGCAGAAAAATGAAAGACTTCCAAAGGCAAGTTGGTTAAAAGAGAAAAAAAAAAAAAATTTAAATCTCTGCAAAGCCTGGATCTTGAGCAAAGGTAAATGGGAAAAGGGAGAAGATAAACAGGACATGAGAAACATTCACAACTTGCAGCTTTTTGTTTTCTTCCTCCTCGTGTAAACAACTGTGCTGTAGTATTTCAAAATGAGTATTACCCTACCTCTGCAAAAACTTCTTGAAGACCCGTCTGTAGGCGTAGCCAGCTCTTCTTACTCGAATATTTTCTTTCAGACCTAAGTATTCTACTTGATGTTTTACCCTGTGGACAACAATACAGTAAGATTTATAATCTGTTTCATTTCAGCATATTTGTAGATGGATGTAGTCTTAAAATTCCATATCCTGTTTAAAGACTCAATTTCTACAATTCCCACACAGGTGTATGAATCTACTTCTTGCACGTTGACATACACGCTCCCTGGTAAGATATACATTCAAGGCACGTAGACTACATCACTGAAATACATGTAGCTAATTTTAACTTTAGTATTCTTTTCCCTAGTTCAACCTCCTCATTTATATATAATTTTTTTTTACTAATATTATTCCCTCTAAAAGGGCAACTAACTGTTACCTACATGAGTACATAGTGGGTATCTGACAGAGTGGGGAGTTGTTTTTCATCATTTTTATTGCAGCTTTCATCAATGTTTTCCGTAGCTTAAATCTCAACAATTACACGCAGTAGCTTGTATTTGGCTATTCTGAAGCACGTTTTGCTGGGAAGGATCCAGTGCGATGCCTGGAGAGAGCCCAGGCTGCCGCACCTCCGTCGCCCGGGGGGCCAGACGGAAGCTGTGAGCAGTTCGCTCTGCTCCTGCCCTTGCCCAGTGGCACAGGGAGAATTTGAGACAGGCGCAGACTGCGGCAGAAGCGCGCCCGGGAAGCTTGCTCACGGCATACTTTAATTACAAACAGAACCTGTGAGCTGGTACCAGCCCCGTGGGCAGCGTTAGCAGCCGCGGAGGGGCTCTGCACGGCACACGTGGACTGAAACACTGGTCCCCAACAGCACGGCAGTTCCCTCGTGCAAAGCACCTTTGTTTGGGCTCTAAACAGGAAAAGAATTTCACCATAAATTTCAAAGAGAGGGAGAACAAGTTAAAGAACAGCCTTCCTTCTGGCGTTTCTTTTTCTGTTTTGGGAGTTGTGGAACGTATTTTACATTCTCCTGCTAGTCTATTTTTTAATGCTTGGGGACTTGAAGACTTTCAGTTAACTTCATTAATGATGAATGACTGTTGCTGTTTTTCTTTGCACTTCCTTAATTTTCTCATCCAAGTTGTGTGGTTGGAAGAAGCAACGTCAGTTTTCAGTTCTGAAGGCTGAAGCGTTGTGTTTGGGGTGTTCTGCGGCTGCTCTCCGCTCGGGCGAATACCCGAGCTTAGCTTTCAGTCAGAAATGTGAGAGTTGTTAAGGTTTTAGTCCTGTAAGTTTAACAAACAGCATATAAAAGAGCCTTTCTTTACATATAATCAATCATAGAAATGTGAGGCTATAAGGAACTGTTTCATCTTAATCTTGCTTGAGTTATTGTTTCTCTGTTTTTACAAAAGATTTGTTTCAAATCCTGGAACCTCTAGGCTGTTACATCTCTAGCTATTTTGAAAGGTTAAATTCACTAAAAAGTGTGTTGCCCACTGGTTTTTTTTCTTTTTCTTTTCTGCTTGAGACATTCCTTTTACGTGACTCGCAGTATAAAGGGAAAAAACTTTTGAAATGCCATGCTGTGAATGACAAAAGCCCTTCAGTTATTTCTTATTTTTAAAGAACACTTAGTAGGGGTATTTTATTAACCGATGAAAAGTGCTCTTCTTAAAACTCACTATGAAAAATACTGCACAGTTTAATCTTGTGGTGTTCAAGGAATAAAGTATGTATTGTACCCGCTCCAAGAATTCTGGTGCAGGAACAGTAGAAAGTTGATGGTCAAAACTACATTTTCCTGTTTATAGCTTTCTCTCCTGTTCACATCTGGAATAATGCACTGGAGCAACAGTATTACTCCCTTTTTCTCACTGTCCTGCCAACACTACTGTCCAGCAACAGAGAATTTGAGACAGTTTTCTGTTTTTATCTACGCCACCACG